ATATATAGATAGATAGATAGATAGATATATTGCCATTTGAGTTAAAATACCTTATAAAGACTGTCTGAATTTCAGTTGGACCTAATTTTTCACATCATAAAAATAATTAATAACATATCTAGCAGATTCCTAAGGGATTAAATTATCTAAATTAGATTCTTGTCCAGTCCGTAACTCATATGAATTAATTATAAGTTTTCATGGATTTTTTATAATCTATAATCATTAGAGTTTGTTTTAAACTATTTGAATAATCATTTAAAGCTTTAATATTAAAAGTGAGCTAATTTTGTATTCAACCAGGACAAACTTTGGCCATGGGAATTTTCAAGTGCTTAATTTTTGGGTATTTCTCTAAAATGCTTTCAAGATTTATAAAACATAACCCCATGATTGGAAGCTACACATAACTCTTCAAATTTCATCATGGTGGTTCGACAAGCTAAGATTGCAACCATGCTTGGTTGAAAAACAAATTATCATTGGAAATGAAGATAATACATGCCACCATACTAAAAAACTGATTTAATACATGTTATATGCATAACCTTCTTCTTTCTTCATTTTGAAATATGATAATGTTACATATACTCCTCCATATTCTCATTTTAAATGGAAGTAAATGAATTTTATTTGGCATGGTTTACCTTAGGTTTAGCTCGGTGGCCTACTTCTTTGTAGAGACTTTGCACTGACCCCTTGTTTATGGATGCCATTCTAGGAAGATTGAGTAACGAACCTCAAACTACTTGCAGTAGATTGATCAACAAAATATTAGATGAACACCTTGAATTGATTGTACAATGATGTTCCTCACCAAATTACCACTCTATGGCCCATTTTTGCCACATTTTGGACCTGTGGAGGGGCCATCAGATCAAGAAGGGCCAGTAGAAGTGCTAGATAAGAAAAAATATAGGCCACAAATTCTAGGGTTGTCAAAACAACTCATTGTTCGCCGACATCACGTATTTGGCTTGTTAAGTAGCTCGTGCTCTATTCGTTCATCAAGCGAATGAGTCAAACACAAACAATTTTTTTTGTGCTCGATATATAAATGTGTCAAACACGAACAAAGACTTGTTCGTTTGTGTTTGACTCGTTTTGGCTTAAAACAATTATATATGTCTAATTGATGAGTATTATTTTTTAAAAAATTAATTGGCTGCAAGGCTACAAAAATTTATAATCTATTAAAATTTTTAATTAAAAAATAGAATAAAAATATATTAAATTCTATTTAAATGAATATTTTAATATAAATAATAAGATTTAAATCTCGCCCTACTCTTAATGTGTGACTAAGGCTGTTAAAATGGCTCGTTTGCGAATAGCTCGTGTTTGGCTTGCTAAACAAACGTGCCAAACACGAACAATTTTTTTGCGAGTCGAACGCGAACAGTGGTATGTCAAACGCGAACAGTGGTATGTTTAACGAGCCGAACACAAGCCAAGTCTTGACTCGCTCTAGCTCGGCCAGTTTACACCCCTAACAAATTCATGGATTTTAACGAAGTACCCCTCATAAATTCATATATGACCAAAGGAATAAAAGAACCCACATATTACTCCATTGGCATCAATTGACAATCCCAAAATTATCAAATGACTGATAACTAGGGGGTGATTTTTTGTACCTGTTATTGTAACTATTTATTTTTTTTTTCTTTTTTTATGTAGATTTATGAAAAAAGTGTCAAACTGTTCCCCTTACCTTTTGCAGAAGCCATTTTAGTCGCAGAGTTAGAATTGTTTGTTTTAAAGTATCAATTAAGTGTAGAGACTCTTGAAATAGTTTCCAATAATTACTATTTTAGCCCCCATTAAAGCAGTTTGGGGACTAATTGAATATTTCTATAAACTTTAAGACTAAAATAATCTCATCTAAATATCTGGGGACTATTTTGGCTCTTTATTTGTAGTTTTATATTCAAATATTCAACGAACAAACAGTGAAAAGTTGTCATGTAATGATTGTTATGACTAAAATCAACATGCAGTTGTTATTTCTTCTTCCCATTCGACGGACGAGACTATTGTAGCAGATTCTGATGTTGAAGCGGATACTGCTGCTACCAATATCAAATCTGAAACCTTCAAGGAGAACCATACTGTCAAAGAGACTTCTTCAGAAAAATATGAAGATGAAGAACAGGTCAAAGACGGCGATATAGAGGAGAAAGCTAATTCCACGCCCATTGAAGGGGGTGCTATCCTTATAAGAAAAATCAACAAAAATGATGTTTCTGATATAGATAGACATGAAAATTCAGATATTTTATATAGTCCGGACCTTATAGTAAGAAATGCAGTCACACCAGTCGAATCGGTTTCAAGCGAAGCTAGTTCTGTAAACTTCAAGCGCTTTAGACAGGTGAAAAATTTTTTTTAATGAGCTTAGTATTATGGAAGATTTAAATATTGCCACTTACTTCCTATGTATTTACATATCCACACACACACACACACACATATATATATATGTCACTTTATATATGCATGAAAGGTGTTTCACTTTTTTAAAATTAAAATGCCCCTATTAAACATTAGTGAAGTGTCAAAACTGTCCTCTGATTATTTACACAGGGCTATTTTAGTCCCATAGTTTATTCGAGGGCCAAATTAGTCCCCATGTTAATTTAATAATGACTAAAATAGTCTCCAGAAAGGATTTAGTGTATGTTAAAGAAGTATGACGATTACATTGACACTTTTAGAGATCTGGGACTGAAATAACTCTTTTAAAGAGTCAGGGATCATTTTGACAATTATCTATTAAGATTTATAGGAACATTTTGCTCCTTTGGATCTTCTTCTTCATGAATGTGTGATCTCAACTTATTTACAGAAGGAGATTAACTCAGGCAACAGCTTTAGAGCCCTCATTCCATTTTCAAAAGATCCATACAAGTAAGATGCACTATTTCTCTCAATTTTATCGCTAAAGCTCAGATACATACTTTGCTGTACTAAAATCTGAAGCATTATCAGGGAAGGCGACTATGGAAGAGAGGAATCAGATTACATGAGAGAAGAAAGGAAGCGTAAGAAGATGGAAGCCATTGCAGAGGAGATGTTCAATAGTGAAAAGGTACCCTTTTTTGATCTTTTGATTGAATTTTTGTTTATGAGGCTCGATTATTTGATGTTTTCAATATTAAAAATTAAATTTTTTTCCCCTTCCAAATAACAATATTAGTTTATATGCCCCTGTTAAAAAAAAAAAAATTATGGCTTCGCTACTGAGTTGTGGATCTCGGTGAGAGCCTTGGGTTCACATGCACCACTTGGTCGAGCTTGCCTGATTGATTCTTCTTACTCGGGTGGCTTAGTAATACGGAGTTAACCCAAATAATTAATTGGAAAACAAATATTATTATTAAAAATAAATGTGTTTACAACCCATCACACTTGAAAGAGAAAACACAACAACACGACTCCCGAAAATCTGAAATAACAACAGACACAACACAAACACTCAAATTTCAGTAGAACACTCAAATTTGGAAGGGTGATGTGACACGTTAGAATTCCACAATGCATATTGTGACTCATTGCTACAGAAGCAAAAAGAGTTCATCGGATCTTTGATGCATAAACGATGCTAAGCTTCACCTTCTTCTTCAAGCTTCATTCTTCCTCTGGCTTAAGACATACGTCCCCTTTCATGAAAGGGTGTGACTCTATTTATAGAGTCAACGTTGCATATAAGAAAGGAAGTAAAACCACTATGATCAAATGGCTCGAGGAAGTTCTCACGATTGGATGGCGTTATGTGGACATCTGCTTGACATTTCAATTTTGTACTGAAAGCTTCCAAAAGTGTTTTAACATTTTGATATGTGTTTGATTTGACTTGAATTGACTAATTTTGTTATCTTTGTGTCAGTCTGTTTGATTCAGTCAGTTTAACTGTAAGTTTGCTGAAATCAGAATTCCGAATGCCTTTTATTTAAAAAGTTAACCTTTATTGCTAAAAAAATTATCTCAAGACTTATATTGCGCTTCAAGATTTGTGAAAATTTATTGTTTGCCAATCAATTTGTAACTTTAAATATAAAGTCAATAATCTTAACCGAGTCAATCCTTTTGATTTCTTCCTTTTCAATTTTTGTTTTCAAACAAAAAAGACGCCATCTTATGACAGAAGGGGTTTGGCTGTTCGAATAACAGAAAAAAATAAATTTTATTGACGCTTGTAAAAAAGTCTAATATGCATTAAAAAAAAAAAAAAACTTTATATATTCGCCCTCCATTTTTTTTTCAGTATTTTTATTTGATAAATTATTTCTATCCATTTTGCTTTTTTATTTATACTGCTTTCTTTGTGACAGCTGAAGAAGCGTGCAGCTGCCGGTACTTCCCTGGAGGCATTCCTTGCTCGCTGTTGAGTGAATTTGGTCATTTACATGCATGCAACACAATTCTTATCTATTTACATAAATGTAAATTTTAATTTTGATATTTACAACAATTGAAATCTTTCATATTATTAACTTTTGAAGAGTGACACAGTCCTTTCTAAGCATGGATAAAGTGGTATGGATGTAAAAATCAATGTTTATATGTTAGATATATAAATACATAGGAATTGTATGGTTTGTATGTAAATCTTTTAAATAACACTGCCATTTTTGGTTTTCTTTCAGCATCATCCCAGACTTTGATTAGGTGCACACAGTGCATATTTTGTATTTGGAAGAATACCTTATTTGTTCTTAGTGTGGGGAGATTTTATTGTTTTGTGTTTTAGGGTTTAAGGTTTAAAATTTTAGAGTGCATGACTGTATGCTTCGTGTTTTGAATGATCTGTTGATGCAGACCGTCCGTTCCACCATGTGAGGAATTGCAGAATCCTTCGTTTTTGTGGGATTGTGGATGTTTTCTATCAAAAGACTATTTATATGATTGTTTTTCTTTTCTATCTTTTTTGATAGACTTTTGGTTATGACTAAATATTTAGGGGAGATTTTACTTTTTTGCTTCTAGTTTTCTATCAAAAGACTATTTATATGATTGTTTTTTTTTTTCTATCTTTTTCGATAGACTTTTGGTTATGACTAAATATTTACGGGAGATTTTACTTTTTTGCTTCTTTCTAAGGGAGTATTGTATAATCTTCTTTCTGCGAGTTGTTTGTTTCTAGTTTATAGAGGAACATGTGAATCTTCTCGCCTCTATAGAACTCTATTTTGTCTTTCACCTAACTCTTTTCTGTCGGTGTAACTGTCGATCACCACGAGTTTACTTTTCAACATTAAATTTTTCAGATTAAAAATACAATTTTATCACATATTTTGATCTCATTATGATAATAACATGTCATTAAATAATATGCAAATTTAAATTTTTGATATATTAATGCAAACTATATATATATATATAAAAGATTAATTTATTATACCTAGACTATCATCTTAATTTTCATTTTTACATTTACAGCATTGACATCTTGCATATAACATAAAAATCTCAGTACAATTGAATTTGAAAAAGTAAAATACACATTTTTATACATAAATAAATGATGTAAATGTAAAACAATTAGAATTAAGGTGTTAAGATATATAAATACATAAGAACTGCATGGCTTGTATTTACATCTCCCTTAATTTTAAAAAAAAAGTATTAACATATTATAAGGGCAATATTTTATTGAAAATTAACCTGTCCCCCACGTATGGAGCCGTAATTATGGATGTTGTCCAGAGGCAATTATACGAGCCTCCATCCACTTCTAATGTGTCTTAACAATTCGAATAACACCTCCTTATAAGCCTCACATCACCAGAGAGGATTCGAACTCACAACTTGAGAGGTCTTATACAAGGATGCCAATCAATAGGTCGGCGTACGCTAATATATATATATATATCTTCTCAAAGTAATTTAATTGTTTCAATTCAAATCCTGCAAATAAGCCCAGAAGACACAGTTAGTGGTATGCATGTAAATCTACCCTTTTTTCCAAATTTCAAACTCATTCTTATCAACGTTTTCATTTTGGGATAATTACATACAGAGCACCTAAAACATTGATATTTACAAATCAAGCACCAGGTGATCATTCTTTTAACTATCGAATCGATGTATTTACGTGTCACATCAACTCATTGAGAATTTAATAAAAATGAGAATAAGTGTGCTTGATTTGTAAATAGCAATGTTTGTAATTGCCCCGTTCATTTTTATATCAAGAACCTCTGTGCATGGATAATCTGTGTCAAGGCATACCTTCGCTGAAGAAAATTGCAAGGAGTGGCATTATAGCTTGATATCTGAAATGTTGATAAATTTGGGTTAGATATGTTGCAGCATGTTTATGAAAATACTCGCACAATATTACACATTTAGTGCATGCTTCGAATCATTTCTATTGTTTATTACTGTATTTTTTACATATTTTTATTTTGGGGCATTTACCTACATACCACCCAATTCCTATGTATTTACGCATCTAATACCTAAACTTTTACAGCAATACCACCTAAATCTTTCATATCAAATAAAACTTCAAAAAATAAAATGCATCTCTTTATGCATAGTTAAGGTGGCATAAAGGTGAAAATTGAAGTTTAGGTGCTAGATATGTAATTAGATAGGGGAATTGAGTGGCATGCATGTAAATCTTCCATCAGTTTTTTTTATTATTATTTTAAAAAAATTAAATTATTTTTAAAATACTAAAAATAATCACTAAATGTAAAAGTTATCACAAACATACCAAACATGCATCTTAAAACAAGATACAAAATAAAGGAAAAAATAAAAGATATCCCAAACAAATCAAGAGAATAAGAAATGAATACGGAAGAGAACAGAGTGATAGAAGTATATTAATAAATAGGGATATAAAAAAAGCTCGTTATTCACAAACAGCGCTTGTTCAACTCATTAAGTAGCTTGTGTTCGAATCGTTGGTTAAGTAAGCGAGTCGAACACAAACAAATTTTAAAACCTCAAAATTATAAATGAATTGATTGCAAACAACCATTTGTTCGATCGTGTTCAGCTCGTTTTAGCTCGAAATAAAAAAATTACACACACACACACACACACATGTATATATATATATATATATATATCTCCACAGCTCGTGTGGTCATGTGGTTCTACACCTTTTATTGCATAGGAATATTACGTGTTCAAATCCAACACCCCACATCTATTTTTCTAATTAATTTAGCTGAGCCAATTTCGAGCCGAACTCGAATAGGAATATGTAAATTGAGCCAAACAATGAACACAGTGTTCATAAGCAATTTCAAACACGAGCCAATTTAGAACAGAAAAATTTCGAACAAGCCGAACACGAGTCAAGCCTAAACTCGCTCAGGCTTACCTCGATTACAGCCCTGTTGATAAGCCATAACAAGGAAATAGTAGGATATCAAAAACTTACCAGATTAAAGACTTCAGAGACCTTACTGCAGCAATTTAGCCTCCATACATAAAATGCTCCATTTGTCCAGCATCCCCCCGGATGTTAATTATAGCAGAAGAAATTTGAAACCTTCAATTTAAACAGAAATATTAAATCATACAAACGTTATATCATGTTTATAATGATCAAAATATTTAGAAAAAAAAAAGCTGAAATATCAAATCATTGAAATTGTGCAGAAATTCACCGAATCGAGTCGGTATTTCAACTAGAGAGCATCAATCCTGCTTATGTTCTGTTTATACTGGAAGCTCCACTATCACACTTATTGGAAGTTCCATCAATGACCTGGTTTAGAAGCAATGGAGCAGCTAAAAAAGCTTAGATCGATAAAACATGGACAAGTCAGGAGTTCAGTGATGCAGGAATTAGTTGGAATGGAAGAAAAACTATGCCATATCACATAGCATATAGTGCTGCATATGTATTTTAAAAATAGCATAAAATAATCAAAACTCGTGAATAATTTATTAATAATTCAACAATATAAGAGATCATAAATTCATAATGCAGAAAAGCACCCTCAAGATGACAGGTTGCTTAATACCTGAGGTGTTATGTTTTAGCTTGGTCATTCGCTCGAGTGAAGAGAAAGATTGCAAAATTTTAACAATTTTAATTAAGGGGAATACATTGATATGCATAATATGATAATTAGCACAATAAAATATTAAAATCTAATGAAAAAATATGTATTATGTCTCTAAAATACCAAAAGATAAAACATTATGGTACAGATTATGAAGTGCCGCAGGTCTCAAAAGTTGTATCCAATACTCTAATGTAATTTACTAAATTGAACCAATTTACCAGGCAGCTTTGTCTAATTGATCCAATTAAGTTCAATGAAGTTCAAGTTTTATAATCTCATATTTATCATTGACAATGCTCTAAAACTTAGTTGTACAGAAAAGGTGCTTAATTTTAAATGAAGCAATAACTAGGAAGAGAACCATGAGAAGCAAAAGATAAAAGCATGTCTCCTTTCTTACGCTAAATAGTGCATACTTGCAAACTATTAACTCTCTTGCATGAGAAGCATGCACAAACTTATTCAAGCAAACCATGGCTATAAAATAACAAATCTCATTAGTCACACAGCCAGATTCTTGGAACATGCTCAAATAAATTTTTGGGGCATTTACATACATGCCACTCAATTCCTATGCATTTGCATATTGAACACCTAAATTTTATTTTTTACATTAATACCACCCAAATCGTTCATAACACTTTAAAAATACCACCTTCTTAGTTTTTAAAAAGTGAGATGCACCTTTTCATGCATAGAAAAGGTGCATATATGTAAAAATTGAAGTTCAGGTGTTAGATATGTAAAAGGCATAAGAATTGAGTGGTATGCATGTATATCTTCCAAAATTTTAAATGGTAGGAAGTGCAATTGGACAGTATTTTGTCTCATTTCCAACCGCCTAAATACTCAATGCCTAGTCTAAAAATTAACACCATGCTCATGAATGAAATTTTCTTAGCAAAATCTCCTTAAAAACTTACACAACAAGTTTTACAACTGCAAAATCCCTCTTAAAGTTTTCAACTTAATATAGCCCTCTTCTCCATAAGCATGTAATCTTCAAGAAGATTTTTGAGCTCCTCTTAACTTCATTAAGAGAGTTGGCATCGCATTAAGGATATTTAGTTTTGAAGTTTATTATATGAGTTTGAATAGGATTTTGGTTGAGCAAAACTTTAGCTTGATTTTCTAATCTGTAGTGGAACAATTTTTTGGCTTGGATTTTTAGTTTGCAGTTCTCTTATAACATATTTCATTTGATTTACTAATTGGCGAAGCCAATGTATTTAACCCAATCTTCTTGTTGTGTTCTTGTGCGAGGGTAGGGTTGTAATCGAGCCAAGCCGAGCAAGTATATCATAGTTCAAATTTGGCTTAGTATAATTATAAGTTCTTCATGTTTGGCTTGAGCTTGTGTCGAGCTTTCATATATTGTTCATGCAAGACTTGTTTAAATTTTTCAATGTTTGAACTTGATTTAAATTTTTTAATGTTTGAACTTGAGTTGTACTTGAATTGTTTATGACAAGTCAGTAAGTATTTAAACGAGCTAAAAATTCAAACGAATATCTAAATTTTCATATAAAAAATTCAATAAATAATTTTAGAAATCTAATCACATTTATTAATTTAACGATTATAAACTTTATAAAAATGAAAGGTAACTCATGAATCATGATCATATGGGATGTAATCTCTCATATTTTAGCATTGTTATACTTCCAAGTTTGCACCAAACTCTCACATTCAGACGTAGGTGTTGGTTTTCTCATAGTTATATGCACTAGTCATTTTCCTAGCTTTTTCAGACAATTTTGTTGATGTCTTTTATATTGAGTTATTACATCATCCTTATTCTCAATCATATATAATTAACAAAGGTTACACTATTCTTTCTCAACACCAATTTTTAATCAAGTAGGATTTATGAGTAGAGTGGAAAAGAGAGTATACAAGAGACTAGAGTTTCAGAAATCCTTGCACACCGCAATCACATCGTTGCCTTCGATAATTGCAGGCCCTCACAACTCAGGGTTTCTTATGTTTCGGGCGAAATCTGGAGAAGTGAAACTGTGAGAGGTCAGAGCAAAAATGAGATTTGTGAAGGTTTAAAGTTAATTTTAAGGAGCAATTCATACATGCCACATAAGAGTTATGTATTTTCACATCTAACACCTAAACTTCAATAAAATAAACATAAAATTAATAATTAATCAAAAAACATTATTGATATAATAATACATTACTATTAAATCTAGAATTTAATAATTTATAGGTAATTAAATTTTATTTAAATGATATATCATATATGATACAAGTTACCATCGAGTTGAATATCGACTATTTAATGAGTTATTTGTTGAACAACAAACAAATTTGTTCGTGAACAAAAATGAACAAGTTCAAATATGTTCGTGTTTAATTCATTTAAGCTCTAAACTTTTAAAAATTATTCAAACTTGTTTATTTACTAATTAGAACGAACATGATCAAGTCTCATAGAGTGCATTGGTTTTACAGCCCTATGAGAGGGTCAATCTTAAGATCAAGATCGTGATTCACCCTCTGAGCCTAAAGAGAATAGCACGATTGATTTGGTGTCTCACACTTGGTGCGCATTGGCATTTTGTATAAAATTTTTAAGGGGGAGCTTGGAGAATGGATGTAGGATTCTTGATAATATAATTACTATAAATTCTCATGTGATATTTATTATATCCTTATTTCACATCTTCTTTGATTATATAGTTTCATCCCCACTCTTGGGGCACATCATCAGCAAAATCATTTTTAATGATTCGATTAAAACTGTTTGTTGTTTTCACCTTAGTAAAACTTGCTTTACAAAAACATTCAAAACCAAAAAATGATTTTCATTCGCACAACAATTCAAATTTGTGAACAATTCCATTGAATGTAAAGATATAATACTAGATCATGAAAATTCTCTAAACTGGAGGTCTAAGGTTCAAACTATTTAAAAAAAAACATGTGTAAACAGATGGCTTATAGGCACATCAACAGACAAATAAAACTAGGGTCCTAAACTATACTGTCACTAAAAAAATTATATACATCTCAACTAAGTGTCAACAGAATGAAAAACTTTATTAGCTGAAAACCCATTAAAAATAATTTATAAGGAAATTCATTTATGTGTTTTAACCGTATTATTACAACAAAAAATAACCATGCTGAAAGGGAAAATTATTTGAATAGAAATGGAAGATTTAAATGCCGCCGCTCAATTCTTATATATTTACATATCTAACACCTATACTTTTATTTTTACATGTATACCACTATCCCTATGCATGAAAAGGCGTATTTCACTTTTTAAAAGTAAAAAAGTGGTATTTTTTTATGTGAAAGATTTGGGTGATATAAATGTAAAAAGTAAAGTTTAGGTATTAGATACAGAAATGCATAGGAATTTGGCGATATGTATGTAAATGCCCGAAAAAGTTTTGAAGGCATACCAAATTCACTTCAGCCAAAACATACCTTGGCATAGGAGATGCAGCCTTCTCTGAGCGTTGAAATTCATGAACGGCGCACTAAGAGAAAAAGCAATCTCTTACGAAATAAATAAGATAAAATTTTGTCAGACTCCGCTATCATGAGATGCTAATTTTTGTCATGAACTTGTAAGGATGAGCAAGCATGCAAGCCATTAACACGCCCTGTGCACTTTCCCGCCAGATTTAGATCTTATTTCATCCTATCCAACTTCAATATATCAGATTGTTCAGAGAAAGTTCCCAATTCATGGCCCCAAATCAGCAAAATGAGATTTTTCCCCGAACAGTTTGGTCACAGCTTTCATTAACAGCCTATGGTTCTTAGAACCATTGAGTGGGCAGCAATCCTTTTGAAGGACCTCATTCAAAACCTCAAAAGCTTCAGCCATTTTAGCAACCAAAATCAAAGAATTTATCAGTAACAAATAGATATAAGTTCCAAGACTAAACCCAGACTGCTTCATTTCATAGAAATATATGAGGGCAGCATCCGCTCTGCCACACTTGCACAATCCATGAATAATAGCCGTGTACGATGTCTCATTCGGAGCACAACCCTTCTCCTTCATTTCATTCCAAAACAAGACTGCTTCATCAGGAGCTCCAGCACTACACATGCCATCAATCAAGCTGGTGTAGGTTATAGTATTAGGTTCTCTTGTAGAATCAACCATTTTAGTAAGGCACGTAAGTGCTTCACTCATTTTATTAGCCTTACACAAACCATCAATCATGGAGTTGTAGGTAACAATAGAAGGAACTAAACCCTTCTCTACCATTTCATCCAGAATTTCCTGAGCAGAATTTAACCTTCCAGCCTTGCAGAAACCATTTATCAGAATGTTGTAGGCAACCACATCAGGAAGAAAGCCGTTTGAAGATATATTGCGGAATTGTTTCAGGGCTTTCTCCACATTACCAACCTTACACATCCCATTAATGGCTGCAGAATATGCGATTAAATCTGGAAGAAAACCAACCTGGACTATAGAATCTAAGAAATCATGAGCTGTTTCTACTTTACCATTTTTACAAAGCTGATCCACCACCAATGTACAGTGCTTTATCCAAGGTACATGCCCTTTTAGGCGCATCTCCTTAAGCAAAATAAGAACAGCAGAAAAGTTTTCTCTTTTACACAGAGCGTGAAAGATTGAATTTTGCGTGAATTCGGTTGGTTCAAACCTTAATTCCATCATCATCCTCACTACTTCATAAGCTTCCTCCAGTCTATCTGCTTTACAGAGCTCACTAATTATATCATTGTAAATCAGTATCTTCCCTTTACAACCCATAGAAATCATATCTCTCATGAGAACCAAAGCAAGATCAAGTTTTTGGGTCTTGCACAGACTGCATATTACGATAACAAAAGAATCCAGATTTGGTTGAGCTTTCTTCTTAATGTTAAATGTCAAATGTGGCACTGGTGAAGGTGAATGTTCCATCATTGCCCTTAGCAATGTGTAAGCCCATTCAGCATCGCCATGGCTCACAAGACCATCTAGAACAGCATTATACAGTGAAACTAAACTATCCAAATCCAGACTTTCACCTTCTTCCTCAAGCAAGTTATTAGCTGTAATAAAATCACCTTCTGCACAAACTGAGTAAATCAGCTTCTTGGCCAACAAAAGATCTGGATGAATACCAACTATTTTCATTTCCCTGTACAAAATCATGGCTCTTTCCAGCTCCTTACCCTCACAAAGCCCCTCAATCATGACACTTAAGAGAGGCAAATCTCCATTCAAACCAAAACCCTTCATTTTCTCAAACAGCTCCACTGCTTTTTCATGTCTTCCCTGCTTAGAAATCCCATGAATTAGCACGTGAAACGTCTTCTCATTCGGCCTCATTCCGAATTTCTCCATCAATTCCACCATTTCACAAGCTCGATCAACCTCGCCCCACTTAGACAACGACACGATCAAAATCGTAAAGATGTGTTCGTCCAACCAGCATTTATCATTGATCTTATTAAATATAAGGAGCGCATCATCCACTTTACGAGAATTGCAGTAAGATTGCAGGACAGAGGTGAGCGTGTACTTATCAGGTTCCCACCCCACAACCTCCACCATCTCTCTGAACCTCGTCTCCACCAATTCAACCTTTCCCGTTCTAGCCAGAACCTCAAGAAAGCAATTGTACGTATAAGAATTAGGGATGCAGCTCAAATCATTGGCGTGATCGAACACAAACTCAGCATCCTCTGCGAGGCCTTGACGGCCCAGGCACCTTATCAAGAATCCCAGTGCACCTGGTGTCATCGGGCATCTATGGCCGACAAGCTCTCTCGCCAGAGCCTTTAGCTGGGTTCTTCGGCGGGCCCTGGAAAGTCTTTCCGCCATGGCATTGTAGGTGTAGCAACTGTGGCGGAAGCCCTCTTGCCATGAGGCCCAGCGGAAGAACTCGTGCGCCGCCCTCCATCCTCGAAGGTCCTTGAGAACGATTTCGACAGTCTCGAGAGTTAGCCTGCGGCCTAGATTGCGGAGAACGTCGGAGTCGCGGAGGTTCGGCGGCTGGGAGAAAACGTCGAAAAGTTCGTGTGCGAGCTGGTTGTGAGAGAGAGACGACGAATCAATCGAGGAGGATGAGCCCTGCGGGTGGGAGGGAGAGCTAGGGTTTGATGGGTAGGATAAGGAGGGAAGGGATCGCTTCGACCTTGAAGAGAGTATGCGCAGAGCCATCAAACGGAAGCCGAAGATGGGCTGAAGTAGAGGCGGGGCTGTGAATTTTACGGCGCAATGGAGCATTCCAAGTCAAATTTGACTCAAATATGATTGGAGCAAAGTTTTGATTCATTTGAGCTAGTTAGAGATTTGATCGAAATGGCTATGCCATGGAGATATTGGTGGATGTATGTGGGCAGCATGAAGTGTATTTGGAGGCTTTTAGTGTTGGGTCATGTGACAATCATGGGATGATAGGTGAACACACCAATGGAATGATCGCAATATGAACATAAGTAATTCATTCGATAAGAGATGGTGTCAAATATTGATGAGAGACATGAAGGCGTTGACTCCTTCAGACAATAGACTGCTCTTGTTGAATGTGATAACTTGCAGAGCACATTGAATAGATTGTGTAATCGAGTATGATGACATAGTCAATGGCATGATGAAAGGTGGCTATGCAAGTGTGTCGATGAGGAGAATTAGGCGGTCGTCAAGAAAAATTATTTTTAACAGCCCAGGCGAATGTAGAGACTTGTCAGTTAGGGTTAGGAAATGTCACTAACTGGGAAGAGTTAGTGGTTAGCTAATATCATGTTGATTATTATGTGGCTTGTCAAGGTAATAAAGTAAGTAAAAAGGCCACTGAATTTGAAGATTAGTGATGATCAAAGAGGCTATCTAGCATACAAAATAAGAGAGAAAGAAAAGGTCTTCGAAGAAATTACCTCTTAGAATATTTTAATAGTAAGGGGCAATACACTAAAAAGCCTCACTATAGTTAGATGTGTTAGCCCATCAACAAGATGTCAGACTCTTAGAGCCAGCATCAAAAGGTTGTCGAGAGATAGTAGAAGGAGTTTTCGCCAAAACCTCTTCAAGCTTTACAGACATAAGAATTTTGTTCAAGCAAATCAAGTTTATTTGAAGAGCGGGCTTAAATAATGGAAGAAATTCATTATCTTGTCGGTAAAATCTGTATAAAGATAGATGTGTAACTACCATTCTTCTAAAACACACACACACACACACACACACACATATATATATATATATATATATATATATATATCTTTTCTTCTTAACATGAAATAAGAAAGGTTAAGAAGAGGAAATGCAACCAATGACATATGACTCAAGGCACATTATAAGGTTTTTCAACAATTTCAAAGTTGATGGGAAGGGATGTTATGCAAAATGTTATGTAAGACATCATCTTACTAGGTTGGACGACAACATAAATGGCCAATGAGACCATTAAAGAGCCAACGGTGTAAAAATAGGTAAAGAATCAACCAGGGAATTTAGTCAAACTATTAGCAAAAGCAACCAAAGTGAAATTGAGTGATATTAACTAAATGCATCGCCAAGGTACCAAAAAGGAGTCATCAATGATATGATAGTTTCATTGACCACAACATCATAAAGATGTTGATTAAGGCAACCAGAAGTCATCGACCAACAAGACATTCATCAACTCCAAGAACTAGACATTCATCAACTCCAAGAAACTCAAAAAAATTTACGGAGGTTGTATGCTAATACTCTAATTCTATTTTATTTTTTATTCATCTTGATTTATGTCTTTATTTTATATGATATATTGAGCTACTAAGAAAATGTTAGTATTATGATGAATTTTTCTATGATAAAGCATCATAGAAGAAATGCCAATTAAATTGCTTTCTCAAAGTCATGTTGTGTGCTAAAATAGCATGGTAACTTAGAATCAATAATTTTTGAACTTTAAATATCTATAAATTTTATCAATATTTCTCTTGCAAATTATATAATTTAGGAAAATATTTCAAAACTAATCTTGTTATGGTTTTTTTAGTTAGTTAAAACTTCATATTTTTCTTCTTTCATTAAGACATTAAAACTTTTATGAATGTTGTTTGCACTCTCAATTATAGAAATAACTTGGATTAATTTAGGAAAATATTTCAAAACTAATCTTGTTATCGTTTTTTTAGTTAGTTAAAACTTCATCTTTTTCTTCTTTCATTAAGACATTAAAACTTCTATGAATGTTGTTTGCATTCTCAATTATAGAAATAACTTGGACAAACAAATTAATGGTCAAATATTCTCTGTTTTCTCTACTCCCTAGTTTATTTTCAGTTAATTTAATTGAAATTAATTAATTCAATTTCATGTTAATTCTTTCTACAACCTAGTTTATTCAAATGTGCTAAAAATCTTAGGCAAAGATGTTATTATCCATATCTTTTTTTAAAGCTAAGGTTAAACAAACTCATTTGCTCAAATGTATTCCATTAATATTTAAATGGCTCTTATATCTCAAAGCAAAAAATTTCTAGTTCTCTCTAATCTATTTTACTAATCATGCTAACATCACAACAATTTTAGTTATTTGTTATAATGTGTTGCATTGAAAATTTTACTTGTGAATATTTGAGGTTCCCTTTAATTCACCTTACAAAATAATAAAAAAATGAATGTTAGTTGCCATCAAAGATTTTTAAGATTTAAAGATAGACTTGTCAATTGAAAAAAACATCTCCTTCATTATGCCTAACTTTCCTACATAATTTTTAAATCTTAGAAAGGTTTTAAAACTATTGAGAAAATTAGACGCATTTTTTTTTTAGAATTTGATCATTAACCAAAAGGTTATTTTTATGGTCATTTGAAAAGAGTGTAGCAAATCTAAGAGTTTAGATGGTCTTATCATCATCAACCTGATAGTTACTGATTTTGTTCTTTATTGAGAAATTGGCTTAGAAGCTTTTGTATAACAAAGAAAATTCTTTAATAGAGCTTGTTTCTTAGAACGTAAATAAATAGATAGAAAATCTCCCTCTACTTTGTAGGAAGAGAATGATGCATCATCCATTTACATATTTTTTTTCTTTGTTGGAATGGCCATTAGATGATTTTTTTCAATATTAAACTATAGTATATATCCTTTGATTTGGGATTAATCTTATAGTATTTGATCAAAATTTAGTCAATTTACCAATTGTTAATTAACTCATTAGAATTACGCAATGTACTGATAAACTCACTCAATTTGTTAACACGTTATATTACAATCCACATAAATATACTTGTTATTCAAGATCATTTATTTTAGTAATTGGCAAATGATTGCTAACCTCTCAATCCTACAACCTAAGCTATGTACTTTATTTCTATTTTTATATTGAACTCTCTTGATTATCCAACAAAATCTCTCCTTCGATTTAATAACTAGGCAAAATAAAGATCCATTCTAGAGACCATATTATGATAATTAGCATTTACAACACATCTACTTATGACCTTTATAGCTTAAAAGCAGAAAGCATTAGTAACTTATTCTTAGGTGTTAAGAATTAAAGATAAATTTAAATATATGTTTTACTTTATTTTAAAAAACAAATTATCTTTTTTTTCTAGCATTCAGTCTCTTTGGATTAAGAAAATAAGAAAATCACATTTTGTTTCTTAATTATTACAATTACAATTTGTTTTTATTTTCTCAATTAAATAAAAAAAAAACTTTAGGAATTCCTGAAGTTGTCTGGAGTCCGCACGTCCGGACTCCGAACAGAAAAATTTGGCCAAAGTTAGGGGTTGAATAATATTTGATAACAAGCTAACAATGGTGATTATAGTGGACCTTAATTAAGGCCTAAGTTTACATTCAACATAGTCCAAGTAACGAACAAGTGAAATGACCTTCAAAAATATCACTAAAACTTGATCATATTAAAATTTATCTTGATAAGAGAAGTGATGCGTGCTAGAAAATTAGCGGCGGTAGAGTAACGAATTATCGTCTTAGCGTTGTACGGGAATTCAGCACACACACAGATGAAAGAGAAACATACAGTAGTGACACCATAGGTTTTTACATGGAAAACCCGTAAAGAGAAAAACTACGGGGTTTGGCGCAGTTGCGAAAATTTTTTATTGATTGATGGTTACATAAATCCCTTGTCCTGCAGATGAGAATTGTAACTATATTTTTCAGGTTACAATGTCCATTGACGACGTGTGGTTGGTAGCGATTGACGACGTGTGGTTGGTAGCGATGGACGACGGTTGGCGGGGATCAGCGACGATAGGCGTTGATCGACGGAGGCTGACGTAGTCAATGACGGTCGGTGATTGATGATGGTTGGTGATTGTTGAGGGAGGTCGACAGTGTTCGACGGCGATCAGCGGTGGTCGACGACGGTCGGCGGTGATGCTGAGCTGCAGTTTCTCCTCAGAACCTCAGGCTCTCTCTTTAGGCATAAGCCCCTCCTCATGAGAGGAATGGAGCTTTATTTATAGTGTTTTGTGTTCAATTAATGCGTGAATATGAACCATTTTGATCGAACGGTCCGGAGAGCTTCCCTCGATCATACGACATTTAATGGACATTTGAGTGCCTTAAAGATGTCAGAATTGAGTGATCTTGAGCTCGTTGGATTTATCTTGTCGAGACGCTTGATTTGATTATAAACTTGTCATATTCGACAACCCTTTATGTGTCCGAAAATCTTTTAAGTGTGATTCAATGACTTGATCTGAGCTTGATTTGACTCGGATTATGCTAGTTCTTATATCATTAGGTTTGTCTCATCAAGGGGATTATGCTAGTTCTTATATCATTAGGTTTGTCTCTTCAAGGTGGTCAGTTTGACTATAAGTTTGCAGAAATCGGAGCTCTGACTTACTTTTTATCAAGACTTGAATATTTCTTGCTTGAAATATCGTCTCGAGATCCGTATTATGTTTCGCGATTCATGTCAGATGACAAAAAATTATTTGTGGCTTATCTAAGTTGCTACAACTATGAAAATAAAAATTATTAAAAAAAAAAACTATGAATTCAAATCCCAACAGAACCATTAGCTATATAAATGAGTAAGGAAAAAATTAATAAAAAAATGTCAACAAACTATATCTAAATAGTCGCACCACATACAAAGGAAAATAATCCTTAATAGTCCATTAGCTAAGCTATAACTTAATTTGGCACTCGATAACATGCAAAAAAGAGATGAGGTCATATTTTGACTTATATTAGCTTCTTGTATCATATTTTGCCTAAATAATATTCACATATTTGCAAAAGATAATTAAGGATATGATTTTCTTAATAGTTGGTGGCAATGAAAATGGGAACTATAGTTCAACATTTTAGAGAATTTCTGTGCGTGAGTGAAGTGCCAGCCAGTGGCAGAGCAATCCTATTGAGGTCTTGTAGGATGGCCAGGTGGAAATTAAATGATTTTGACTTCCCTGCATTTCCA